TATTCTTTGTTAAGTGATAAATCAATCAACTGTTTCCTATGATACTGCATTGGTTTTAATTACAGTAGACTCCCTCTTATCCGGACTCCTCGGGACCGAGGTCAGTCCGGATAACGGGTTTTCCAGTTAAACCAACGTCCCCAAAAACCCGTTATGTAATCCAAATTTTTTACTTAAATTCAAAAAGAGCATTGTATTTAGACACGTGATCACTGGTTTCAAATCTTTCCCACGAGAACAGTCGTTTCAGTACCGCCCACATCCTGGTGATCTAGTCCGGTTAAATGGATGTGCTGATAAAAATTGTCCGGTTAAAAAGATGTAATTTCCGCCGAGTGTAGTCCAGTTAAAAGGTGTCTGGATAAGAGGGAGTCTACTGTAATATTCAACCCAATACACTAGTAAACTCTGGTGAGATGGTCCTGAACTTCATCTATTTTCTTGGCTTCAAACTTTCATATCACATGGAAAGTCTATTGCGTGTATAGTCAATGATAGTATATTACGTTACTAGTCCTGAAAATTGGTGTTTACCAGACGAGTGTGGTCGTTCCCGTGCGAGTGACTTATGATATTTTACGCCATACTACTCTAAGCTAACTTAACAATAACAAATTTGTACGAATTGTTATAAATTACCACCGACTAAAGGTCTAACAATCACTACTCATAACCTCTAAGAGGAGGTTATGTTTTTGTTTATAACCACTCATTGCCAAATACAGTATAATCAGCTGGTTGGTGTCCGGTAAAAACTCATTACAGTACAGTAGTACACAATGAAACCTCATTTTATTAAGCTGGCAGCAAACAGCTGTTTTCTGGACTAAATCCTTGAGTGGGAAGTTTGTTAAAACAGTGTAGTGTGGCGTAAAAATGTTAACTATTTTTGTTGATTTCGGACTATGACCAAGTATAAAATGTTCTCTAACGTCCATCTTTACTCTATTTGCAGTTTTATCAATGAAAAATTAACCTGGAATAGGTTAATCCCATTCACACTAATTTAATTTTGTATTGTGAAAGATAACCCTCTTTGTAGAAGTGTAATTCCCCATGAAACAACATATTCTTTGACCAGAACCCAGGCTAGTGCATAAGCCAATTCCATGTCACTGTACACAAGTTTGCACACTATTTTGTTTGCTTTGTCACTGTACACAAGTTTGCACACTTTTTTGTTTGCTTTACCAATATGAATTAAGTAGTTGAAAACTACTTGAACTATCTTAGGTATTGTTTCATCACCATTTGTTTAATTTTGATTCTCAATGTGTATAAACATGTTCAAATTTTACTGGTCAATTCATCTAAAAGCTTTTGAACAAATACTAAACAACTTTTTGGAGAGAATCAAACAAAAGGAACTGCTGAACTGTCATTTACACACACAATATTTTGTATGCATATATGTGAACACATCCGTATGTCACAATAGTTGACAAAATACTGTACTGTTTTGTGTACACTTAAAGCTTTCAGAGTTGTGTGGTGATGTATTGGTTCACAATAAATATGAAATTAAAGTTTCTTGTGCCAAATCTTAACAGAATAGTACGGCTATTTGTGTTTTTTTATCTGGGTGGGAGCCCTAGAACTAAAGGTTTTTTTAACGCAACCCAAATATTACTGGTACTGTGAACGAAAAAAAAGCTTATTTGTTGGTATACCTGTTTTCCTTACTTTATTGCCGATTAGTGATATGCATTGTTGCATAGTTATCTATGAGGTATAGTGTTGTTTGAGAACTTATAGTATTTAAGACTCAACTTTGTGTTTTCACAAGCTCAAATAGAGTACGTATTGAAGGTCTAAGTTTTTTTGTTTGTTTACTACTGTACGTCTTTGTTTTCCTAAAATTTGTTCATGTCAATAATAGTTTATTTATTAGGTACTGGAATAACACCTGAAAACTTAATTTTAAAACTTTCTTGGCATATCCCATGTTGAGTCTTATTTACAAGAAATTCCCAATAACATGATAACTTTGCAGCAATGTATATCAGCTGATTGGCAATGAAGTAAAGAAAACAGAGATACCAGCATACAAGCTTGTTTCGTCATTAAAATGTGTCTCAAAATACTTTTATTTAGGGTTGCGTTAAGTCCCTGTTCCTGTTAATGGTTACTGCTTGGTCTAAGGTAATGTTATCTTCATTTGGGAGATATAACCTTTTATTCAAGGTTTGCATCCCATATCAGTTGGTTTGACTTGTGAAAAGTTCATCTAACTGTATGAAAGTTAATGGAAATAAACTAAAAAAAATAATTTACAAATGACACAGTTGCATCAACAATTTTCATATGTTTTACCTTGCCTCGCAGTGTATGTTCACTAAAGGTATATATATTTAGTTGTTTTGTACTCCTATTGGCAAGAAAAACTAATATAAAACCTTGCATCAAATAACCATCTGCAAAACTAAACCTACCGAAAATGGTTCTAGTGTCATTAGATGATTAACCTAAAGGAATTTTCACTGCATAAAGTTTTTAATGCATAATGGCATATTAACTTTTTCACATAGAAAATGCAAAAGAGATGCATAAAATTAACTGCAGTTGTATTGCCAATATTAATTCGTGACTGCTTGCCCTACGAAAAAAGTTTCAATACAAAAGAATGTTAACAAATTCTACAAGCTGTTTTAAAAGTTCACATTTTCCTTGAGTAACAGGAATACAAAGCGGTAATGCATTCAATAACGACACTTCATCTTGAGAGTTAAATATTAGTAGCAAGCTGTGTGAAAAATTAAAAATGCAAGCTCCAGTTTCAACTCTCTTAGTCTTTCCAAATATTAACTCATCATTATTGCCATGAAGTGAAAATTAGCCCTGTGAACTGGAAAGGCTAGATATAAGACAAAGTGGTTTGTTTTGAGACTCATTGTAGACTGAAACTTTTAGTGTCTACCTTCTCATCAGGACCAAATCAATCTCTTTGGTATCATAAATCTCAATGAAGCTCCAGAAATCTGCAGAAAACTTCTCTACAACTGCTCATCGTTGACCTACTAATACCACACGCTAATACAATGCCGTGTTACCTGCTTATCTATGGTAAAACCTTACTGAAGTGGTCAAACTGTCTCAAATCCATTTCAGTTCAAAGTAGAATGTAAAGGACTGAAACCTTGACTATTTATACAACTAGACATTCCATCCCCAAGTTAAAGTTGTTGTCAGTTTTTAATCAAAATCGTCGTAGGCCTAGTTGATGTGAACCACCGACAGATTAAGTGAAACTATATTACTAATTTATGACGGATGCACGACTTTTTTACCACGATAATTTAATGGAATGACTTAATGGGGGCAACTGTTATGAACCGTCAATGATGTCAGCAAACAAAAATAAGGTAGAAGATAGAATTTTAGACACTAGCGCCATCTGAGTCTGGCTCACATAACTATTTCTTTTTTGATAAAAAATTGCGACTGCTGGTCCATATAGATGGAATGTCTACTTTAGTATACAATAGTCAATGCTAAAACCCAATCCCTCTCAAATAGTATTAAATGTTGTAGTATCATTCACTTTAACAGTTCAATGATTTACTGACCTAGTCAGTAATAGTGTGTAAGTACTCTTTTGTTAATTAAACACCGTTGGTGACAAGAAGAGAACTGTTTTTGTAATCTGTGTTTAAAGTAACAAACCTAAAAATTTAGTGGCAGGCAAGGATGAGGGTTTCGGTTGTAATAAAACCATAGTATTATTTCATAGTGATATAAATGCTGATACTCTTGTTTTCTGACACGGCTGAAGCAATATTTCATGAAGTCCATATTTCAATATATCAGGTACACTATAAATAATTTGTTTACTCATTACACTAACACACTGTAAACGCTTTTCTTGAAACATGAAACATTTTGTTGTAAATTTCATCAATAATAGAGCTTAAAACCATAATCAATTTACGAATAAGGATGTTAAGAAACAGCTATACCTAGTTTAAGCCACTAAGTGTATATCATTCATTATTCTACATTCACTCTACATTGTAATCCACATTAAAATCCACAACTAAGTATTAAATGTTTTCCCAGTAGTCTGTGAGTAGCACTAGCAGTATTATTTAAAATAAACACTTAACAATATAGCCTAATAGAAGGCTACGTACGGAAGAAATTGGGTAGAAAATGCAGCAATGCAGAATCATTTCTTCAGGAAACTCCAATAAAACAATAACATTATTTGTTCTGTCCATAGTTTCTAGCAATTTTCTCATCACTTTTAAAATAGGTTACTAAACTTTTAAGCCATAATTAAAATGGTTTCTAAGCTAGATAGAAGTATTTGTTTAAACAACAGATCCCAGTAGAACCCATTATATCTTAAGGGTGTAGAACGCTAATTGTTAAACACACAAATTGATCAGAAGAGCTGTTACACATAAACGAGGGTGATTCAAACCCTTGAGTTGACATTATTTGGACAAACTGACCGTCAAAAAAGCAGTAAACTCGTTTATAGTGAGGCAAGTATAGTATTTACTATTTAACATATATTTGAAAAGAAAATTACACCCACAATATTTTTAATTTAAACACCAGAGCAGTTGGTAATCATGATTAAACTTACAGCTAGACATTCTATTGAGTTAACTATCCCAGACAAGGGTTCTACTGTTGCTATTTTGAACATTAATTTATTATGACCAATACTTTTATTCCATAATACAGCTGAGTTAACATCAAACAGTGGATGTCACATAAACTGTCTTGCTTGTGGTGTTTTCTTCAATTACAAACTATGCTTCAGCTTGGAAAGGTGCTTTTGTGTGGGAGTGTTTTGAATATTTTAAATTTTTAAGATCAGTGGGTAATGTTTTGCATGTTTTTCCTTCATCTGTACATTGAAACTCATTCAAATAAGTAAGGATGTAAATATTAAATAGTAATGATGGATTCGGAGCTTTGCTTACATTCTCTTTCACCTAATAAACTAACTCAACTTTTTTTCTACAATTAAATATTCCTCCCACTTTCAGGTGTTGAACTGGAGGTAATCAAAACAAATATAACCGACAAATATGGATTTGTGATACCTCAGAAATTTATCAACCGTCATTATCAGAGTATGGAGGAAGAGTTGAGGAACATTGCCGAAGAATATCGAAACATAACTCGGTTATATACTGTCGGTGAAAGTGTTCAGCATAGAAAATTATATGTGCTAGAGATATCAGATCATCCTGGAATACATGAACCTGGTAAGCACAACTTGACAAATGGGAACACTAACACAAGAGTATAAAAATACTATATTGCGTTTATACAGGGTGTTTAAAAAAGGTGGGGACATAATTTACGTAGTGATTCCTTTTGTCAAAATAAGCCAAAAAAAATATATAAACGTATGTGCTATTTTGTTCCATTTAGGGTCTTCTGTTTTGTGTGTTTTTTTACAAAAGTATTCATAATTCCTTAACAGTTTAAGCTGGAGTGTTGGAATTCAATAAAAATGTTTATCTTATTGGCCGCTATTTTCGTGCAAAATATGAATAAAAACTCAAACACTGTTTCAAAATGGCTATTTTAAATATTTTATGTCAAATTCCACAAAAAAGTTAATTCCACAAAAGAAATTCATAAAATTTAATAATTTTTATGCATATTTCAATGGTATCTTATAAGCTTAGTTTGGACAAAGAATGACTAAGAAATGTATGTATTTCTTGTTATACCTTCATTTTTTCCCAATTAAACAATGTTAAATCATTAAAATTACTTTTTAACATTGTTTAAATGCAGAAACTGTAGCAAGCAAAAAAAATATTTCGTTAGTTAAAGTTTTTTAAATCTTGCAATTTTTTGTAAAATCAATAGTTTTTTGTGGAATTTTTGTATCAAATATTTAAAATAGCCAATTTTGAAATGATTCAAACGTTTTTATTTATATTTCGTACTAAGATAGTGTCTACAATGATGAACATTTTTGCAGAATTTCAACACTGTGACTCAAGCCGTCAAGGAGTTATAAATGTTTTTGAAAAATTCAGACAGACGCTAAACGGAATGAATTGGTCATATTAATATGCACTTTTTTCTTATTTTGACCCAAGGAATCGCTATGTAAATTATTTCCCACCTTTTTTGGACACCCTGCATATTAAAATACAATCTAAATGCTACTGTTGAAAATTACAATGCAATAATAATAACATACTGTACAATTTGAGAAGTTATCCCATGCTAAATATTCAGTTAATGAGGTACTTCTATCAAGTTTTGTATCTTGTTATAAGTACTTCTTTTAATTAAAAACTTAAAGAGTTTCATAAACATACTCCAACACGTATGCATTGTTTATTTAAATAAATGATAAACAATTTGTATGATAAAACGTCCCCCACAAACTTTATTTTGATGAATAAAGATGTGGGACAGTAATGGCAATAAAGTACACATGGTACACTGCATTATCAGTACCCTGCTATTAAAATTTTGGCAATCAGTAGTACATATATTCATTTTGATTGTTGGTATAATATTTATTTTGATAAACAATTTAATTTATTTATAAAGGGTGTTTTTTTAACATAGCCCAAATTACAAGTAGCCTACTGTGAGACACTGCTTAACGAAAAAAACATGTGTATTTTATGTTGGTATCCCTGTTTTATTTATTTCATTGTTGATTAGCTGCGATATGCATTGTTGCATTGTTGCATAGTTATCTATGAGGTTTAGCGTTAATGGGAATCTATTTAAAATAAAACTCACCATGGAGTTTTTGCAAGCTATTAGCTTATGAATTGTACTTTTAAATTTGGTGATAAAAAATACCCTTTAGAAATATAAATCAAAGGTAATTCATCACTATAAAACAGTAAGCTATCACAACTACTTTTCTAAAGGTGCGTTGTTTTACCTGATTACACAAGAAATAACACCCTTTTAATTGGAACGAAATGATTCACATTATCAAATTATTTGGCCACAAAAACAATATACATGATCAACACTTTTTACTCAACGAGTTACTAATCTAGACCTAACAATCAACATGAACTAAAACATACTGAAGCACTTGATAATTGATATCTTAACGTACATTTATATCTACACAAGAGTTTGGAGTGACAAACGCGTATCTTATTCAGGGGAGCCAGAGATGAAGTACGTAGCTAACATGCATGGCAACGAGGCAGTCGGACGAGAACTTCTACTACTGCTGGCTCAATACCTGTGCCAGAACTACATGATTGACCCTAGAATCACCGACCTAGTCAACTCAGTCAGGATACACCTCATGCCTTCCATGAACCCTGATGGCTTTGAGATGTCCACTGAAGGTAAACTAGGTTAATCTGATGTTTACGAAGGGGACTCACCTCTGGGACAAAGTTCTCTAATGAAAATAATGAACACTTGTTTAATTAATTATCAGCTTTAGAATAATAAAATCTTAATGTTTTTTAAATCAAAGATTAGTCCATGGGACAGGGAAATGTAGGAAACAAGAGACCTTGTCTTAACAGGCCCAACTACGTGTGTGGTAAAAATTGACCAACCAATCAGCAGGATTTTATCCACGCGTGGGCATTTCCACTCTGCTTTTCCAAAAATCATGTTGCTAGTCGACTAAATGTTGCCACTGTGGAAGATTTACGACTACACCACTGAAAATTCAGATAGATTGGTATGGTTATGGGAACTTTAAATAAGAAATAACTGATACAGTAGACCCCCTCTTAACCGACCCTAATGGGACCGGACCTAGGTCGGATAACTTAAAAGGTCGGTTAAAACGGGCGATCCCTAAAATCATAACTTAATGAAGTGCTATTCATTTGGAATCATATAATCGTTATTTAGAAGTCATACTAGCATTATTTATAAAATAAACTACTCTTATCTCCTTTTCATATTGATAGAAAAGTCACAAATACTGTAAACACAACACAAAACACGGTTAAGTCAAATAGGCCTACTTTCAGTGGAATATATTATAATACTAGGACTAGGCAAGAGTCAATAAAATTCCTATTTTAATAACTTTAGTACTACTGTAATGTATTAATTGATGCTTTCCAAATACATCGTAATACAGTACAGAACCTTTTGTCGACATTAAAGATACAAGCGACCATTTTGTTACAAGACAGGACGTTTATTTATAGCCTCTCACTGGAGGCTCGCGGCACAAAAACTATCTTGACCTTGGAGTTGTCAACCCCCCTTCCCTGCCTTCCCTACAAGTTGCGTTGTTTGTTTACTCTGGCGATAAGATAATCAGTTTTTCAAAATCGTAACGCACTTTATGATGTTAAACATTTGCCGCACAGATAACAAATCAGATCAGATGTGCTCGAGCTACGAACAATGATGACAAACTGACAATAGGATATGCTATATTTTTTGTGATCAACACAAAATAACTTATTGTTAGTCATATCCTGTGGAGATAAGCGTATGGTTCAGTTCTCATCGCCCAGCGTGGGAGCGGAAATGCCGAGATTCCTAGAAAGCGGCGGTTAAACCGAGCTGCTCTCAAAGCAAGGTCGGTTAAAACAAACTGTATTATTTTACGATCGAAGGCGGATAACCCGATTATCGGTTAATACGAGGCCGGTTAAGAGGGGGTCTACTGTAGTCAGTCTTGTATGTGAGGAGATGAGCCTTCAAAGAGTGTTGACTGTGTATGTTATGGACTAAAACTCTGTTCCATAACTACGCAACATTTAGTCTTGTCTTTCCTCATTTCAACCTCCATTAGTTGTATCTACCGACCTTAGAAAAAAATTCATTGAGTCACGTCTTCTGCTTGCGTGAACGATTAATTTATATAGCTGGTTAGCCAAGTGGTTATATTGCTTGCCTACTAATCCTCGCTGGTTCGATCCTGAGAAAAGTGAGAAAATTAAAGGGTTAGTTTTGATGGCTCGAAACTGGACACAGCTGTCCTTGATCATTGGGATTTTCATAAATGGTCATGGAAGTTTAATGAAACAGCTGGTTTTAGTCAGTAACAAGGCTACACAAGGCATCTCACTCAATTCTAAACTCGTCCTTCACTCACACACACACACACCTATGTGGTGTCCTTATCTCAATTGGTGATAATAATTCCACCCACCAATTGAACAATTGCAATTAATGCAATAAATGGGATACAAACTATAAAGGAAGAATTTTATTTTGAATACTAAAGTAATTGGTCAAGCCTCACAATACAAGTCACTTAAAATTAATGAGGTAATAAAGCTGGAAATTTGTATTGCAGTCAGTACCGCATTTCCCATTAGGCCCACTAGGCCCAGGCCTAGGGCGCCAAATTTTAGGGGGCGCAAAACTTTAACCTCTTAAATGAATCCCACGTACGCCCCCACGCGTCAGACCGGTAGCCCTGCTACCAGCCCACTGACACACGGGCGCGTCCGAGTGTAGTTTGAATTTGCCGCGCTTAGTAAGCAAATCAAAGAAGAAAGATTGCATTGATTGATACTGCCGCCGTGTTGGGAATAACCATGGAGATAAATAGATTATAACTGGAGTCACTACTCTCTGGTTGAACATTAGAGAAAAACGTTCCACTGATCGGTTGGGGGATGCTGTCAAATTCAATTCATTCTAACCTATCCATGCTATTTATTTGTGGTTATCCGTTATTTGATGGACTTCAACTTATTTAAGTTATTGCACGTTAAAACTTGTGTATTTAAAGTTATTTTGAAACATTATGAATTGTTTTTTATGCTAAATACTAACTTATTTTCAAGCTATGATTAATGGTGAAAATAGTCAAGTTTCCTGGTAATTATTTTTACTACGCCTAGTGTAATTATTTTTGTCAATGCCCTACAAGCCCACCTACTTAACTTATATTGAACCATCGTTGTTGTATTTATGATGTTGTTAAAATGGGTTGCTCGTAAAGTAAATAAATAAACTTATATTGCAATCATAAAGTTGACATATTTTTGTTTACTATCAACAAAACAACAGGATGCCTCTAATTTGACAAGTCCCACCAACCGATCAAACGGCCAACCTAACAACACGAAACCTGAAAAAAACACAGAGTGGTGACTCCAGTTATTATTATAGCTCAGTGGGAATAACCTGCTCTTTTGCGTGTGATATTTCGTTTTGCGCTAGTCTCGACGACATCCCTGCAGCGACTGCCGAAATTCAGCTGTGTAATTCTCTCCTGTTAACTTACCTGTTGAGTCATTCTGTTTATATGCTTTGTTAGTAAACATTGTTGAATCAAGCCGGTATTTAGCTTTGAGACGATGAAATAGGTGAATATTTAGATAACGACAATTTAAATGATGTTTCGGGACATGAATGTTGTCCATCATAAACGTATTTCGTGTTATTGTGTAATATGGTATTGTAAATGTTCCACATCTACATTTTACAAGATTGAGATTTTCTGATGGAAAGTATTTATCATTGTTCAGTTAGTCTCATTAGAGGTGTAGTATAGGGACAGGTCATATGCCAATTACTGTGAAGTTTAATACAATATTATACATTTTACAGGAGTTGATTTATTTAAAATATCAACGGATTATCCTTGTATATACAACTCAATGATAATGATCGTGACATTATTTACGTTTCGCGACCAATATTACGGCAGGGAGGTGTAACTGTTTTGTGTGCCTAGGGGCGCCGTTTGGCTAAATGCGGCCCTGATTGCAGTCAATTTATTGTGGTGACTAAAGAGTACAGTACTTTTGCAATGTTGTCCTATTGTCTACAAAAAAACAACAATATTGTTTTGATTATTGTAATTTGTTTTGCTGTATCACTGTTGGATATTAAAAATGTTACAATGTTGTTAGGTCTCTATAGGTCTAAATTTGATGTTTCTATCTATTAACACTTTTGATACAGTATCAGAAAACAGATGGGTGTAAAAGTGTTTTTTTTTCAATTTTTTCATTGTGATTGTGTATTTATTTAATTTATCTATTAAAATGAAATTATGAAATTACCTTTTTTCATATAGATTACTTAATGGAAATAACGAAGGTGAGTCAACTTATTTATTTGGAATTTCAGTATAGAGTGTTGTTTAAGTATAACTCCACTCATCCAGTCATCAATGGAAGCAAAAGTATTGGCACGGCCAGAACATAAAAAATAGTATTGTAAGATGAACAGATTATATCCCAAAGAAACACAAGCAAACACTGAAACCCATTTACTATAAATTAATATCTGAACATATTCAAAACCTAAATTATATGGATCTACCAAACAAAATGTAAAGCCTTATTGCTAAAAGTATTCAAAAACTTATTTCGTTCAAATTGCTTTTGATATCTATAAGTAAAAGGAGGAAAAGCCAAAATTATATATTTAATGGCTACAGACAAAGGTGATGCTTCTTGATACAAGCTGAAGTTTATTGGAAGAGGCAGAGCAAAAATATTAAACTTTCTTAAATTCAAAAGTGTTTTCCAAAATCTTTTTTGAGTAAACACCTGTCACATAGATATTCAGTTAATTTTTATTATATTCTATTTAATTTTGTTCTGCCTGTAATTACACCTAGTAATTGGTTAGAAAAATTATAATTATCGGTGTTTCAAACCTTTTGAGTGTAAATTTTGAACAATTGCAAGGACAGTTTTTTAAGTAAAGACCATTGTGCGTATCCCTTATTGGCATCATTTGTGAACAGAACAGCTAGGAGCTTTGTTGCTAATGTGTAAACTTACAATCTTTTTTTACTATTGAATCTTCCACCGCTTGTGAGATAGGGTCAGTGATATGTTTTTTGACTGCAAGAAATGTATCTGCAGCAGACATTCATCGCAAGATTACTGAAGCTTAGTGCCCTACAACAATGAAAGAGAATAAAATGGAGACATGAATTAGGGAGTTTGAAAATGGCCATGAAAATGTCTATTTGGGAGGGAATTGTGATTTTGGTGGGTACCCAGACTCACAGAAGACCATAAAGGGGAAAGATTTTTCACGGCCATTTTTACACTCCCAACCGTTTCCGCACTTTACCATCACTCATTATATTAGGGCCATAACCTTTAGTCATCTGGCAATGAATGTCGGCATCGGATGTGTTTCTTTTGGTCAAAAAACATATCACTGAACATATATTGCATGCAGTGGGAGATTCAATAATTTAAAATTTTTCTAAACGCACAGCAAAGTGTACACGTCAGTTTCAGAGTTGCAAATGGCACCATTCCGTTCACCAATGATTCTAGTAAGCAGTGAGCTGCCTTTTTACAGCACACATGAATATACACGAACACACAGCCCATGAGAGTACACGTGAACTTCGGAGCTATAAGCAAAAACTTACATATGCCCCTCGTATGTGTGTGAGGGCACTTTCCAATCATAATATATTATTTGATTACTTTAGGGTCACTTACCATGTTTCTCTTCTTGAAATACCGTATACGATCAATCAACATATAAGCCACAAAGACTGGCAATCTATATACAATGTATAAATGAAAATTAAATAGTTCCTGACTGTAAAACCACATGATTCTTATTCTAGGACATGTAAGTTATTTTAGCACTGCAATGTATGTGTGGAATACAGCCCTTTTACAGGATAAAGACAAAATTACAAATTTGTTTTTCAGACTTCATGGTTCAAAACTATTATTTCAATTATTAAAAAACGTCTATAGTACATGATGTCCTTAAAGAAATATTTAAGCTTTTATTAAGATTTTTGATTGGCTTTACACAAAACTTACACTTGTAATTTATATGCAATAAATAAAAAAAGAACTTAAGTAGTTTTGTCCATAAGCCTACAAGTGTTCATTTTTCAATGTCATCATAACATCTCAGGGATCAAATTAATCTGATAATGATAAATGGGTACGTTTGGATTATACGGAGGCCACCCTTATACAGAGCGCTGGGACGGTTATGTTATGTTGGTTTATCAAATATGTTTGTAGAACTTTCCTCGTTTCATTTAGTTCATAGAATTCAACAATACCAGATCGAGTCATACTTTCGCCTGCCAAATCCCCTCCAAGTAGGCCAAGGTCAGGTCGTTGACCGGAGCGTGCGCATCACCTGTCACCGCCTGTATCTGGATTCTGAGTCTGTGTCCTGAGTGATTTATTGCCGTGCACTGATAAGTTTTGTCTCTATAATGAGTAAAGTTCTTTTCAACAAAACAAGGAAAGTCCTTCAAACATATTTATGATAATCCAACCTAACACAACCGCCGCAGCGCGCTGTATAAGGGTGGCCTCCGTTTCAACTCAATCCTCACCGACATCGCTGCCTTCTGGGAGGCAGAACTCAAAAGCCACTAATCGTTATCATATCAAATGTGGACAGTAAGTCAATTAAAGTATGTTTCTTTCCAATTATGTAGTTACTTTTAGTGTCCAGTAAAAAAATCCCTCTAAAACAAGTGGCCTCGGTATAATACCAAAGTACCAACAAATGTTCTTTTCAAACTTTGGTGTCTTGGACTATTGTTAAAATTAGACACATAAGTCCTGTTTCTAATTCAAAGAATTACACTAGTGGAAATACGAATACATACCATGAACTTTAAATAGCTTCATAAACCTTAAAAAGGTAGAAATATCAATAGTGTCATGAGATTGTGGAGGCTATTCTAAACTGAATCTGTCATAAGGCGATTGGGAAGGTTGGAATGAGACCAATTGTGCACCATCTCATACCAGTGATGTTAACCACTTGATTGTGCAAACAAAACCCTGCTGCAGTTACATTTTCATTTGATGTCTAATTTATAACTGTATGTTTGATTTATCAGGTACTGGGTGTCACAAACTGTTAAAATCTTGCACTGTAAATCAATTGAACACCCTCTTGTTATGATTTGTTATTACAAGTTGTTTTGTAGGTGATGCAACTAGCTTGATCGGACGAGCCAATGCCAACCAGGTTGATTTAAACAGGAATTTCCCAGATAAATATTTGGGAGAGTATCAAAAAGTAAGTTGAATATCTTTTTCTATACTTATTTCGTTACTGCATACATTCATACCAATTTCAAAATCCAACTATATACCCAGAGAGAAATTGTTCAGGTTATGAGGGCTTAATAATCTAAATTAAATGTAAATACTCTATAGTTCTGTAAAAAAAAAAAATTACATTGTAACTAACTAAAAAATGTCCTTGATGGACATAAATAACACGTTGACTGCGCGTGCCGACTTTAGTCGGCGTCGCCAGCGCTCCCAGGTGGCGCGCGCCGACTACAGTCGGCACCAGACCAACAGTAATGTATTGAGTCAGTGTGAGCTTAGCCTCAGACGGAGACGTTATAATCGTTGCCAGCCTGCCAGCTTAGAATGCGAGCTTTACTTTGGTGTAGGTTGGTACTAAAATTTCCCGTAAAATCCCGTCTGGCAATGCTTTTGTCCCGGTTTCGGGGATTTTTTCTCTTCAACCCACATTACAAAGACACTGGATACGGATCCATGCAGTGCTGCTACCTTTGGGTGTTTCAGTGAACTACATCCACTCTCGGGGTAACGCAGCACAGTCACCACTGCTCTTTTGTGATTCGTCAGACTGAAATATTTGAATGCCAATTGCGTTCGCTGATTCGGTTGCGCGCCGGGGCTTCGCCCGCCACTGGGGAGCGCCTGTAAAGTCGGCGCGCGCAGTCAACGTGTTAAAGTACAGTAAAGTATACTCTTATTCTTGGATATAGAAAATGTGGGCAAAGAGTGAAGTGGTTTCGGAGGTGCTCTTAAATATTTGTGCAATCTTTTCCATGGTTTAGGCTGACTGCTGTCGTGCATCAGTATTGTTTGAAGCATTGACCAAAGTTAGGGGAAGTTTGCTTGCGGATCCTGGTGTGACTGAATGAGAGAGACTGTGGACTGATAGGGGTTGTCTCTATATAACAATTAAAGACTGGGAAGACAGTAAACCCTGCAAGTCTGAAACACGCCAATCAGCAAGCAAGGTTTCCTCTATTTTAATCCCTGACTTGATGGATACTGATAAACACCCACTGCCGACCAGTTTAGTAAACTTGTATGGCCTTCTGCAAATTCCCTGAGCCACTTGTGTACATTTTCTATGTCAACACATTTATGCATACAGATCAACTGACAACAGTGATTTGCAGAGATTGACCCCCTTTCTTCTTAAACCTAATCACAGATTAGATTGTGATTCATACGGGTGAGGTTCATAACTCCAAGTTTTCATAACTCCAAGTACTTTTAAATACAACATTTCATAACTCCAAGTAAATTAAAACCAAAATATCATAAGACCAAGTTTCATAACTCCAAGCGTTCATATCTCCAAGATTCATAAGTCCAAGTTAAAATAAAACCAAGTAAATTAAAATACAAAATTTCATAACTCCAAACGTACAGATTTGCAAGGACCACAAGCCCAAGTTTCATAACTCCAAGGGTTCATAACACCAAGTTTCATAACTCCAAGTGACAATGGGTACAGTCCGTGCAGGAAACGATAACGTACGCACACACACGCACCCATTACACACACACATGCTGGAAGAGAGTTTCCGATGTTGGCGAGACTATTCGAAGTGGTGCGTTCCCTGTCGCTTTGCACGTTCGTCTAAATTGTAATACAAATAGTGAGAGGATGAAATTTACATATTTAAATTCTGCGTAAACTGATGTTTAATTAATACTATATAAATACAATTTAGTTCGTGCAGATGATTAATGTTTAATAATGGAAAATATGAAAATGTTGTTCAATGTAAACATGAAAAAGTAAGTGAGCAAGGATTTTTTTTATTTTTTGGTCAGATGAAAACTTTCAGCGAGAAAAGTATAGATAATAAGATGTTCTTCAATTTTTGTTCCAAACATTTTTTCGTAAGACTTAGTTTGTCCAATAATCGACTTAGATGACCACCACGAGGTATGAATGAATTAGTTTACGCGCACGGTATTTTAGCAATTGCCGTCTTCCAACAACAATATTAAGGAAATACAGTATTAGTTCACGTTTTAAAATTTCTAAACCATGAAAAATATTTAGTCTTAACTTCTTCAGCTGTATGTACGAAATTTCGAAATTTTTTCTACATAATATTCGTGATGCACAACGCAAATAAGTCGTAGTGCCTTTTTTCCACTACTGTATTTTTCATCTCCTATTTTTCGGAAAAAATTTACACAGGATTAATCCACGTTAAGATTTCATCTTGTAGCATTCATTTGTAAATATAAAATTTGATTATAGTTACAATTACTTGTTCCCTCATAAATCTTCATTCCGTAACAAATATGAGAGTGTATGTTAGCAAAGTAAATTGTACGCAAAATGTCTGTAGTGCATAATGGGTTTAGTAAAAAAAATACCATATTTAAAATTTTTAAAATACTATCTAGATTTGTATGATCCAAACAAGCGGATATAATCTATAGATAGGTCTAAACATTTGGATTTCGAGACTAAATTATCATAGAAATATGTTTTTGAGTAAATACATCTATACTTAATACCAGATTGTTTTATTTGAGTTAAATAGAAGGTATTTATCATTTAGGTATTATTTAAGTACCTTAATGAGTTAAGTACTTTAATATAAGAATTGATGTCGTCCAGTGGTCAAAACTCGACCACAATCCAAATAAAATATGAACTTATCTATATTCATCCCGCGCTGAAAATGAAACATGTGATGATTGTGTACCAGTCTTCAATTTGTTTTGATTTTCTGTATATTTATCGTTGTTATTGCGTCACCAGAATTTTAACTCATAATCCAAATGTTAGTTTTTTGGTTATGTTAAATTCGTTTTCGTACTTATTTTTCATCATTTTTTAAATCTATTAAGTTGTTCTGTTTATCTACAGGAAAATATGTTTCCAACAGTATGCGTAGATTTTCCTTGCGATGCACACGAGCTGAGAAAAGGGCCTTAAAGAAACATATTTGCCTATTAATATATAGATATAGCTAATACTTGTCATACCAATAAGGAGAATAAATAAGCAGACACAAGAAGGATCTTATTTAAGAAACATAATTTAATGTAGGCTATTCTAATAGCCAGTGAAATTTATTTTTGTAAACCTCACAAGAGAGATAATAGTAATAATAATCGAAAGTATATAGTAAAATTAGTGGGATTCTGTTCACTGCCGCAAACATTTTATCAGTACCGTTCACCTTCCTACTGTAGTACTGGCTCATCCCTTGCTTTGCTGGATACGTTACACGCACAGATCTGTAGTCTTATGTGGACGGGCAAATGTTAAAAATTTTTAACAGAGACCACACACCTCTTTGTTTCCCTAGTTGGAACACATAATTCTTCATCCAAACTCTATGGGCCTTGAGAGTCACTTAATTGTATACACAACATATGTAAGCAATATCAGTTGTGTGTTTTAGCTAATTTCCCATATAGGGAATAAGCTATTACCGTAGTACTCATGTAAGACCTGGATCCGGACCGAATTAATTTTCGTTTTGAGATCCCTAGAGGCCAAAAACACCATCCGTTTCTTTTTTGTTACATTTTTTAGACAAATTAAAATATGATATTATGGAGCTATTTATGTTGCAAGCGCTAATAAGTGGATGATACTTAAATAATTTGTAGAGAACGGATTGTCCAATTAATTTGTTTGTGGCGTCAAACCATATGTTTATGAGAGTAAGGAATCTGTTAATACTAACTAGTGTACATTTTGCTCGAATTCGAGCAATTGCAAGGTACTGGTATTACAGAAATTATTTCAAAAACAATAACAGTAATATTTACAATGAGTTTAAAAGAGTCAACTCAAAGCTTACTGGTGTGTATCATATGGAGATACTCACAATGTACATAACAGTAATCAATATTTCCTAAAAATATATATAGCCGCATAAGGTTGTCCATGTTAATCTTCGTTATTGATAAACCTATGCATGCTACCACCCTTGTCGCCAGCAGTAAGTTTACAAATTTCATTCATTCTTTAATAAGGATAGAATCTGTTTTCAATACCATAAGGACTTCCTGTTGTCTGTCACAATTTTATTTGTTCAATTGATGTATTTTTTGTTTAGTTGCAATAACGTTAATTATATTTAACTGAGAAAATGCAAAGTTAAAGACCTTCTGTCGTTCAGTTGATTATTGTTTCCCTTAGCATTATATGAATCTATAAGTATAAAAGAGGATGTTTGTATGTTTGTTTGTTTGGCAGTGATAAACTCAGACACCGCTGAACCGATTGCCACGAAACTTGGTACATACGTGTAGAATGTCATGGAATAGGTTTATACACCATCAATTTCGTGATCCGTCCAATCGGCTCCGCCCCAGTGGCTCTGGAGTTTCCCATGTTAACCTTATGAGAAATGGAATTAATGAATCTTAACAGCTGTTTCAATTAAACAAGTTGGTTCTGTTCTATGATGTTCAATATAGCATTAAAGTTACAAGGATTACCAACAGGGTGCAGCACTATTATTTCTTTTACATATATGACAACAGCTAATTTGCAAACAAAAGGTGAGTGAGCGTAGCGAACGAACTTCAACCTGGAGGCGAGTTAGCGTAGCGAACGAGCTAACCTGAAGGCAAGTGAGCGTAGCGAACGAGCTAACCTGAAGGCAAGTGAGCGCAGCGAACGAGCTCCAACCTAAAGGTGAGTGAGCGTAGCGAACGAGCTCCAACCTAAAGGTGAGTGAGCGTAGCGAACGAGCTCCAACCTAAAGGTGAGTGAGCGTAGCGAACGAACTTCAACCAGGACGTGATTGAGCCATGCGAACGAGATCATCTTGAAAACTAAGAAGTTAAACGGGGCAAAGCCCGCGGGATTATAAATAGTCAAAGGCAAGACAACGTCTGCCGGGTTCAGCTAGTAACAATTAAAAGCCTTCAGTAAAATGTTAGTAAGGGGCTCTTGGATATTTTCATAGGCTATTATTAAAATTGTTTGACTTTTATGAAAACATAGATTAATGTCATTGACGTACCAGATTTATTTGGCTTTAGAGGGTTTTCCTCTGCAATGATCACAAAGTTAAGTCCATGTTTCCTAATAAAACTTTTAGCACTTCAGCTAACATCCTCGTTCATAGTTTGTAGGAATCTGAATCTTGTAGGTGTTCTTCATTATACAGGCTAATGACGATAGTTAATTCTTTAAAAAAATACTATCTCTATTTCTTCTACTAGGGGGCGTTCTATGACTTTTAATGTTTCAATAATTTGCAAATGGGTTTTTTCAATGATTTATTTTTTAAAGATCTAATTTTTGTAGGACGCTTTTCTTTGAAATGCAGCTTAAATATTGACAGCAATTAAATTATATAGCTGATCAAAATTTTAACAATTATGATCTTCATAAGGATAACATGGGAACCTTCAAAGCCACTGGGGTAGAGCCCAAGAGACTTTTTCAAATCCAGTTCAAGACCAGTTTGCAAATCTACGCGACACGCTCTTTCCAATGATACGTCAATGGATAAAATCGGTCAAGAAATGACGGAGGAGTTCAACCGACAAACTTCGTGTTCGCGTATTAATTATATAGATCTACGTATCACGTTTCGTTTAGCATACAGGCAGGAAATGTCGCTCATTACGAAAATATTTATTAATTCTTTTAATAATGACTCTAGAGAAGAGTTAGAAAATTAAAAGGTGTAGAACAATACAGCTAACAAAAGTGGTCCTGTAACATTTGGTCATAACTTGAACCCATATGACATTATGGATCCTTTCATGTTCTGGAATTGATGGAGAGTTGCGTGGAGGGGCGAGCAGGGGCGTGTGGGACTTTTTTAGTATCGATACTGGCAACCTGCCTGCCGCTTACTTCGAATTGTCAATGTTACCAACATGACGAGGCTTCCGTGCCCCGTCTTCTGAACTGCCCGTTTAAAAAATGTAAATTTAAGTAAGAAAGGCCTATAAATATTAATATAAATATAAATATAATATAATTAAAAAAAATATTAATATAAATATAAATTAAAATATAAATATTGCATATAAATACAATCAAATTAAATGTAAACGGTTATGGCAGTTTACCAAATAAAAATATAGGCATACTGCACATCAAACTTGAGCTTAGAATGTGCATATTTGCTGAATATTATAGGTATGGACTAATTTCTCAGGTCCCCATAGGCCGATTTCAACGGGCTACGTCTGTTATGCTTTCGCAGTTTGAATAATTTAATTCTGTTTATTTAATGAAAGAGCTGGGCAATGCAATTAATTGGCGTTTATTTACTTGAAAAAATATGTTTTTGATGCTAGGAAATATGTTCATCTGGGGGATTATGTTCGGACAAAAAAAGGTTGTACAAGTTTTGTAAGAGTATTGCTCACAGTTTTATTTGTAATGTATATAGTAATAACATATAAATAGGCATGACTCAAATTGAAGAAATGTCATAAAACATCTTATTGAATGAAACAGAAGCATTGATATCGAGGACCTTATTTGTGTTATTGCTACACTAAGGTATGTTGTCATAGTCTTTCGAACTGAAACATACGGTATCGGTTATTGGCAGTCCTAGGGGTAACAATGTTTCTTGCAACACAAAAATCATGAAAATATGTCAAATGGTTATTGATTAGCATCGTGAAATAAATCACTATGTGACGTTTTAATGTATAGTGTACATGTTGCTCGAAATCGAGCAATTGCAAAGAAGTCAAGTAGTTATTCAAAAACAAATAACTTATTTTAAAACGAATGAAAGTCATAATTTCCGACGAGTTTACGACTCAACTCATAGACTACGTACCTAACAGTTCCATATAATAAACATTTCTTGTAAATATTTGATCATTTTTCAACATCTTATATGGTTTTTAGTGTATTCTACAATTTTATTCCACTTGTAGCCACATTATGTTAGTCAAAGAATCGTTTAAAATGTACATTACCGTATAGGACACAGAAAAAGGGAAGAACAATAAGATTAATATCATTGAGCATAATTTACTACAAAATGAAAACAACCAATAATTATGGTCGCCGGAATAAGGCTGAAACACCTTTGACTTTAAATAATCTAAATATCCATTACATTTTAACCAAATATAAGCCTACCATTGAGTTATATTTCCATTTAACTTGCAATTCCAAGTAGGCTTTCCATTTCAGTGAACTAGACTTACAATTAAATAATGCAGACTTAGGCAGAATAGGTACTGCAATAATTAGGTCTTCCATTAATATGAACCGAAGATACCACTGAGTTTAGATGCTGCAAGTAGACATTCCATTGACGTGAACCAGACGTAACATTGACTTAATATACTGCGAATCGGCACTCCGTTTATGGGAATCAAATTAACCATTTCTTTGGATCCTGCAAGTAGACAATTTATTTTTGTGAATGATATGTACCATTGAGTTTGTATACTTCAAGTAAACAATTCGTTTAAGTGAACCCGACGTATCATTGACTTTGAATGCTGCAAATAGGCATCTTATTTATGTGAACCAAATGGACCATTGACATTGGATACTGCAAGTAAATTTCTCATTTTTGTGAAGCTGGTGTACTATTGATTTAGGATACTGCTACTGCAAATAGACATTTAATTTATGAGAACCAGATGAAACATATATACTTTGAAGTAGACAATACATTTAATTGAACCAGACTTGTAATTGACTTTGAATAACGAAATTAGACATTTCATTCATTTGAAACAAAATATATACTAATGAGATTGGATACTGCAAGTATACATTTCATTTACGAGAAACATATGTAACATTGACTTTAGAAAATTATTTTATTATTATGTCTGCTATCTGCTCAATATTGCAAGCAGACAACTGCATTGTACACCTAGTGTAAATTACCTGAAATGTAAAGTTAAAACTGTGAACGTTTCTCATCCAAAGTCCCCGTGCGATCTCTGGTGTTCACTTGGTAATACATGTGTATTACAAAGTATAGGGTGTTTCCAACTCTCCACGTGAGTGTTAACGTTTCGTAAAAAGTACAAGTTCCTGTATAAGGTAATGTTTTTTCTTTTTGCGAAAGACTCTAAAAGTAATGAAAGGACATTTTTTATTTACATTTATTTCGATAACAAACAAGTGTTTTTGACATATAAATAAATTTGTTTGCACAAAACTTGTGTGTATTACGATCCCCCCCCCCTAAAAACTGTTTTTTTAGTAGTACATTTTAGGAAAAAATAATACCTTTACCATTCACAGACATAATATAATCTTTTAAAAATTATATATTTTCCGGATAGTACATATGCTAGTTATTCAATATCAAACAGTTTAATGACAAAATACATATTTTTTAGTACAAAAAATTGTTTATATGCAAAAGTTGACCAAATACACACACAAATGGCAGTTGGTAAAAGAAATATATTATTTACATTGTATAACTTAAAATAAATAACTCTTTCATATTGGAAACAGTATACAGTAAAATAAACTTAAATAACAACAAAAAATGTTATTTACCAATTATTGGTGTTAATACAATTATAACAAATATGTAATAACGGGGTGTCAAAAACACCCCACGCGAGTACATACGTTAGTAAAACCCGCGCGAGTAGTTAAAGGTTAAAGTCCCTTTAGCATAGAAGTAAGAAGTATAGAAATTAATTAATCTGTAAGTATATAACAAAATTACATAATCGTTTGACAGGCGACGGTAGGTATATAGATACTGTACAATGATGCGGCAACGGCTGCTGACAGTATTACAGCGGAGCGGACAGCGCAGGAACTTGTGGCTCTGACTGTACTACACATTCCACTTGGAGATATGAGACTCCACTCAACTTTTGGAGTTATGAGACTCTGGTTTAATTTTTACTTGGACTTGTGAAACTTTGGAGTTATGATCACTTGGACTTATGAAACTTTGGAGTTATGATCACTTGCGCTTATATTTTTCTTGGAGTAATGAAATTATCCCTTTTCGGGTACTTGTAGTTGTGAAACTTTGGATTAAATATAATTTGGAGTTATGATCTCTTGGACTTATGAAACTTTGGAGTTATGATCACTTGGAGTTGTGAAACCTTGGAGTTATGAGATGATCCCATTCATACTTGGTGAGAGGGTAATTTTCTCTTATTGTTTGGGTTATTGAGACGAGATTAATTGTTGTTTTGGGATGGTAACTGATTTGAACATTAGTGGACAAAGTAAGGAACTTTACTTTGGTCTAAAATTTGAACTAGCTCACTTGGCCGTGACTGGAGCGGGTTTGAGACCTTATTTTACGGACAACCCTGTTAGTTTGAATTTTTAATATTTTAACCATTCCGCTTGTTTCAGGGACAGCAGGAAATGCAACCAGAGACCAAAGCAGTAATCAAGTGGCTTCATCAGTACCCGTTTGTGCTCTCGGCAAACCTTCACGGTGGAGCTTTAGTGGCTAACTACCCATATGATGACAATGCTGAAATGGTGACAGGAAAAGAAAGCCCTACATCTGATAACAACGTCTTCGTTATGCTTGCCAAAACCTACGCAAACGTGAGTGAAAATACAAATGAAATGAAAAAAAATCCTTTATTCACTAATACATTCATACATCAATTGTGTAAACAGTTAAACAATATTCATTCGACATTGTTGTGCATACAACTGATAGAATTCAATTCCTGAAGTAGTTGTCTCTTGAATTTTAAAATTATAGCTACACAGCAATGGTTATAAAAAAATATGGCCGGGGACACCAGCTCCCTTAATGGGACCCAGTCTACTCAAGACCCCACATTACTACAAATAACTGCTGGCTGACTAAAAAGTGAATTTGTTTCCAAAAGTTAAATAATAAAATAAGGTCAGTTTTTGTACTTTCTATAACCAATGAATCTCACTTTTATGAACTAAATTACTAGTATTTTTGTAATACAGAAATTGAAAGAGCAGCTTTCATCATGTTTTGTTCATCCTTGGCTTGCATGCCAGGAGTTAAAATAATTGGCAGATTTTGAGTCTAAACAGCTCTAAAAATAATTTAGAACAGTTGATGTTGTGTCCAGTTAATTTACCGTCTATCACAGATTCATTTTCAAAAATAACAAAGGCTAAGGCTTTAACCATTCCATAACATGATTGCAGGCTCATCCCACAATGCACCTTGGTCTCTCTTGTCCGGATTTCCCTCCTGAAAATTTTGAAGGAGGCATTGTCAACGGAGCCATGTGGTATGTAGTGGCCGGTGGTATGCAGGATTATAACTACGAACACACCAACTGTCTAGAGATTACTTTGGAACTTGGATGTTTCAAATATCCCAAACCTCAAGATCTTCCCACGTATTGGTTGGACAACAGAGAACCCTTGTTGAAGTATATGGAACAGGTAAGTTCTTATTTGGATTATTATCCTGAAAGTTTCTTTTCAAAATGAATCAGACGACTGAATAAAAATAAAGAGAAACATGTAACTATATTTGTAATTAAAACGTGGGATTTGAAAAGGTTTCTCAATCTTGTTTTAGATTACTACAATCATTTTGCTAAATTAGTTAAGCCTAAAGTTGTAAAAAAAATAAAATAAAAAAATTGTCTTAAGAAGTAAAGTAACGGCATAATACAGTTCTTTAAACTTTTAAAAATAAAATAATTATTACTTTTGTAAATTGAAACATGTTTTTCCAAATCTTTACTTTGTTTTGCTGTAACGATATTGCTGGATATTATTGTTTCAAGGCTTATTTTTTAGGTTTACTATACTGGTCAGTGGTCAGTCTAATACTACTAGAAAATTTATTGCCTATTAGCTACTAAATCATTTTTTTTTATTTTATTTTTTTCCCCTGAGAGAGTGGATGTTAAGTTTAGACTAATATTGGTTGTATGTTGCACCAGCCTAGCAGACTGTTCCTTTATCTTTTATTATTTGTGCACTGCCTGATAGTAAATTTTATCTACAATACAATATTTAGTTATTAGAAAACCATCTACAGTAGAATCTTGATAATTCGACACTCCCTATAGTTTTACATGGGCTGTGATGACGTGACATGTCGGCAGCGGTAATCTCAAGTTTTATACTACTATTCATTAAATGTTTTTGATTTATCTCATAATTTAGATACTTCCTGTGTGTACATGACCAATAAACTCCCTATATTTTGACATTTTGATTGTTAAACACCCCCTTAGTCCTCAGAGTGTTGAACTATTGAGGTTCAGGTTCTACGGTACTAATTTTTGTATTACAAACATACTTGTAAGAAATAAAAAACATACTTCTTGGAATGACTTGAAAATCGCATGCTAATCTTTATTGATGTATAGTTTTATTTCATTATTAATTTTCATTTTTGGTTATGCATTTCCATCGACAGGTTCACCGAGGTGTCCATGGATTCATCAGAAGCACTGGTGGGAACGCCATTGCCAACGCCACTATCACAGTATCTGGCATTAACCATAAAATCACCTCAGCCAAAGACGGAGACTATTGGCGCATTCTTACTCCTGGCACATACAACATCACTGTTTCCCATAAAGAGTACGGTAACTTGCTATCACCTGGTTATTCTTAAATTTATTAGACTTTTGTAGACAACGTTTTTGAACATGAATGCTTAATATAGCCTACATAGTGGTCCGTTACAAAAGGGAGTCTTCATAAATTATAGAAGTCTATTTAATTTAATATGTACACATATTTTGCACATGGCTACCTTCTGGATTTTTTTATTCAAAATTAACTATTCGAGCTTTTTTGTGTCAAAGGTGCTTTATTACATACAAAGAGACCCGGACGGTCCTTGAAAAGGGGTGCATATTTTCATATTAAGAATATTTTATTTAATCTGTACTTAAAATGTTACATACAGCTTGGAACCCCGATCAGTCGGGATTAATGAAGGTTTCCAAATTAATTACTTGATCTTGTATTTCAAAATAAGTATTTGTTGGCTAATTGAGACTAAGATGTTAAAATATAATATTTTACGAGTTTGGCAGTCCTTTTTAACCGTGCATTTACCTTTCCACATGGGCCTGAGCACATAACATGTCAAGAGAAGCAAGGCCTAACAGAGGTGCAATATGAGAACAAACTGTGATGATAAATCTTATATGGCGGAACCATGATCCTGATCATGATGATGATGATTTGGTATATCCTAGGCGTGCGCTTGGTTGATCACTGACAGGTGTGCGTGTGTGTGTGGGTGTTTATGTAAAGTGGTATGTTTTTAAAGTTTATTGTTTCTTTTTACATTAAATATTCTAAATAGATTATAGTATATGTATTGTACAGTATATGTTTGGATTTGTATAAACAGGTTAAGTGTAAGAGAGGGCCATGTGGCCATAACTTTGCCTGATTAAATAAATCATTTTCATTTCATTTCATTTTTATTTCATTTCATTTCATGATGCGAACCCTAGACATCTGCCTTTAGTGCAGTAGAAATAATCGAAAATATAGCTTAAGGTGGAACTAATTGCAACACAAATGATTTTTGCTGTGAATGGTAGGTAGTATGCATCTAATCAACATACTAAAAATATACATCCGTACTGTGGCGCAAAATACGTTTTTTGGCCGCCATCTTGAAAAAAGTGTAAACATTTTAATATTCGTAAAAATAACATTTTGGGTATCAAATTATAGGAAATTTAATGCTGAAAAATGTTATAATAGTAGTGATAAGCTCTTTTTAGAAATACGATCGTAGTACAAAATACCCCCGCCACAGCAAACCTGCAGACTATGCAGACTAAACGAATTTCCATTTGTCTTAATTGATTTTCAATTAAATCTAGTAATTCAGTTTTAAAAATCTTTGTACAACTGATTTGATAGATTAATGATGACAAATATGTGCTTGCATAGCTTTGAGACCAAAATTATGAAAATCGGTCCGGTAGAAGAGCCAAACGAACTCGAAAAAAACAAATTTAACTCCCGTAAGTAATGTACAGGGAGGCAGTTTGTGCATAACTCAAAATATACGCCAAAATGAGTGCTGATGCTTAATAGCTACTCTATGGTGCGTCCATAGCTTTAGTTTAAAGCCGGATTTACACTATGTAGCAAAACCTGCTATATAACTTTTGCTGTATAACATTGCTTTATCACTTTTGCTTTATAAAAAATGTACAAACAATTTTAGTGATTCTGCTGCTCGTGCTACATGTTATATGTAGCCATCGATGTATAATACTCTACATTATAGAGGGAGTTATTATACATCAATGTATGTAGCACAACCTCATTCGCATTCCGTATGATTGTAACAAGTTGTACTTATTCAGAGAATAAATTACTATAACTTACTCCTTACTGAAGTCAGTGGCTAGTTACTATGACTAGAGTTTATTTTTTCAATGGTTTAATCTTTTTCTGTACATATTTTTTAGATTGTTGTCGAGTACCCTACACACCATTAATGGCTTCTTTCTTATGATTTCAGCTATTTGAGTCACACGTTAGAAGTTACCGTTCCTGATAATACTATTGGGGTTACTTTAAACTTTACTTTGGCCCGAAATGACCCACGTTCTTGGGCTATGGAATATGATTTTGGAATCACCAAAAGTGTTTACCCCACTCAACGTTACCTTACAGACCAAGAAATCCTCGATGAGTTTGAAAATATGGATCAGACAGCTCCTAAAGTGGCACAGTTCTTTAGAACAGGTGACTACGCTGGCATTGGTATACCATGTCTGAAAATTTCTCATGAGGTAAGTTTGTTATAATTTTCTCATGCTGCATTTTATACAAGTTTTTTTTTAAGCAGCATAACATACATTTACCCACGACAGTTTTTTGAACAAGCCTTTTCAATTCAATCCTTAGAATTTAAAAGATTCACTTTACAGCATTGTTTTTTTACTTTACAAACTAGAAACGGACTAATGAGGTTCAAGGATTGAGAAAAAAAAAGTAAAATTGTAATGCTTTGAATGTCAACTTATCGGATGGCCAATTAATTTAAATTGTTAATGAATGGTGCAAAGATTTGTTGTTAAAATGAGTCCTTGCATCACTATCTGTGGTAATGAGAGGCTATAAACGAAAACATAACCTCTCTCAGAAGAAGTTATGAGTAGTGATTGTTAGTAATTAAAAAAGTAATTAAAGTAGTGTACGCAACTTGCGTTGGCCTAAATATATAGTCTTTACGCGATTGATTCACACACTTGATAGGTACATTCGTTGCCTAAACTACTATATGCTTAGCAATATTTTTTCAAGTTACAATTTGTGAAGGCAATTATACAGTCAAGGAATCAGACTTTTAAAAAATGTTTTCTAACCTTGTTGCTTAACTTACATTCCCAGTTGTGCATATTCCCTCCTCATTTGTGATACAGTAGAGTCCCACAAACTCGGCACTCGATAACCCGGCAGTCTGGATAACTCGGCAATCACCTGGCTCAGAAAATTAGTGATTTTTTGAGTCCGTGTTAATCATGGACTCAAGCCAGCTTAAGTCAAATTATTCGCAAACAAATACCACACATGATAATGACTTAATGCTGACTTGTAATATAAATATTAATAAAAAAGGCGGTTAAAAAGCTTAAAAACTCTATTGTTTTTATTTTTAACCCTAGTTCCCGATAACCCGGCATTTCACAAACTCGGCACCCTTCCAGTCCACATTACGCCGAGTTTGCGGGACTCTACTGTACTTGGCTGGATTGCATATATTTGCAAGATCTACCTGTACAGTATTGTTTGGGTAATACTGAAATAACCTTGTGTAAAATCATAGACAAAAAGAATTAAATATAGACTGTCAGCCGTGCTGTGGTTACCATAGGTTCTGGCACTCCCAGCGGTGTGCGCCAGAACCTATGGTAACCGCAGCACATCTGACGGTCTATATTTGATTATTTTTTTCTATGGTAATATATGCTACTAATTTGTAATTTTATAAATAAATAACAACATTTTGTTCTTTTAGGTCGGAGGTCCATCTGAATGGAAAGTAAAGATTGCTATAATTGGAGGCATGTTTGCTACAGAGCCTATTGGCCGAGAACTGAGTGTGCGACTTGCAAGACATTTAGTTCGTGGTTTTGAGACAAGCCCGCCCCATATTGTCAGTTTATTAAATACAACTTCAATACACATCTTTCCTCAGGTAATTCAGTTTCATTTTCCAAGACTCCCATTACAGTACAACCCTGCTAATCTGGCACCTAAGAAACTGGGACCATGGCCGGAACAGTGAAAAGGTCGTATTATCTGAGGAGCAGCATTTTCACTATTTTAGCATGATCGTCGACGACAATGATGATGTTATCCACGACCAAGGGATTCGTCTAGGATTTTGCCAAGATCGCGGAGATCATAATTATGTTTTCATTATCGCAAAATATATTCAGGATTTGCCATGATCGGGATGACAATAGTAATGTTCCCCCGATAGCGAGAGACGTTATATATTATCCCGTGATCGTGGGAGACGATAATAATGTTTATGTTACTGCAGGAGATATTCAGAAGATTGCCGCGATTGCAGATGACGAGGAAAAAGTTTCTGTGATCGACAGAGACGATGGTGATGTCCCCGCGAGTTAAAAACATGTTTATTGAGGTGTTAAATATTTTGTCGTTATCGCCAAGGAAAATCTTTTGCAGGTACCTGGTATTTTTCTGCTATTTCGGGGATGACAATCTTGGAATCTTGTCCCCATCACCGCGGGAAACTTTCAATCATTTGCTACGATTGGGGAAGACGATGATGATGTTTCTATTCCTGATGAGCATTTTTGGGGGTTTGCCACATTGCAGAAAACGTTGTTAATGTTTCCATGACCGCGGGGGATAAACAAGGTTTTGTCACGGCTGCAGGAGATGGTGATGAAGTCCACGCGACAATAGAAAAATGTCACAATATTATCGCAATAACAATGTAACGGATAGCTGTTGGCATGGTTGGATTAGGTGAGGACCAGCCGAGGTCCGATTAGCGGGGTTCTACTTTATGTGGAAAATTGTGTGCAAAAACTATTCTTATGTTTAATTAACTTTTCTATTTTAACTACATGATTCAGTGACTTTTTAGTTTAAAATGTAGTATACTAATTAAAAGTAATGTGCCTAGGTAATCAAAACATTTTCTTTATTAAAGATGAACAGTTGTATAACTCTTTTAATACTATTTTCGATTTTCTAGTTTATAAATTTAATATTTTCTCTTTTTAACACTAATACCGAAACCCCGGTCTGACAGGCCCAAGGGAATTTTCAAAAACGCATGTTGGCAACACTGTATACTTGAGAGATTCCATTCCCCCAATACCTTCCCCCCTTTTCCTCCCCTACCTATTGATATATTGTTTGTTCATTTTGCATGGGTTCCGTGACCTTGATAGGTTGTCTGTTCATAACATGTCCGTCTCAGAGGCCCAACGTTAGTGTATTTTAAAGCGGGGTTTCACAGGCCGAGGGTTTTGGTTTGTGTGTTTCTAAGCGGGGTCCATTATTTTTCAAATGGGGTCTTACAGACTGTGGGTTTCGGTTAACGTCAGCCGAAGTAAGGTTTCGGTATTAGTGTTAATTTCATACTCTCTAATAAATAATTGATTTTATCAAATTTATTTTAGATTGATGAACTTTATACAAGCTTAAAAAAGAAAATGCAGTGTCATATGGACGAATCTCTGAACAAAGTTGCCAACATTATTTTGTCCAACAAGACTTCACAAAGCCAATATGCTAGCCTCTTCCTCTCCCATCTAGAGACGGAGCGTTTTGACTTCATTGTCATCTTGGAGGGTGGCGGCCCCAATACCATTGTGTAAGTTGTGACTGGCTGTTTCTTAAACTTAATCAATGTTTAGAGATTTATATATTTGTACCTCAGCAGTAGAAAATAGTAGATAAATTTGTAAAGCTCACAGCTTTTGTAAATCTATTTAGCTTCTGTAGTAACATTTTATTTTATTTTTTAATGTCATTAATCATTTAGATACAAATTCAACATCTATCAGTCAGTGATAGTAAAAGGTGAAAGCACATTGACCGACAAACATAAAAAATAATTAGCGATATGATTTATTTAAATAGGCAATAAGATTGTTTTAAATATCGTGTTAATTGTAATTAATTAACTATCAACAGGCTATAATTACATATTTTCTCTTGTTTGTTTCCAGGTCTCCGTCTGGTGCTAGTGATGAAGTTACTGAGAAGATTTTTACAATGATGAGGCATAATTTTGTTTCTGGAACAAACGATATTCCATTTCATGTAAGGAAAGATTATTTTATTTTCACTAATCATGTTTTTGCTTTTTAATATAATATTAATTTATGGATATAGCCATTCCATTCCCATTTTTAAGTTGTAGACAGTGTTGGATATAACATAAACTACATTTTAGTGACAAAAACACAGAAAGTAGTACAACAAGTGAGAACACAGAATTTTAATTTTACTCTGCAGCTCACTGTGAGTGGCATAATATGCAGTTATGTTCTTTGTAATTATACTACCGACTTATACTTTGTCTTCATCACCCTTGGTGTAGTTGCGATTTGGGGGTATAGCCTTCGGGCGGGAAGGTGGTGTAGATGGGCGTGTAGCGCAGGGTCATTATGAAAACATGTTGCAGTTGTTGTTGATCAGAGTCCTCTAGTGTGGTGTGTGGACCACCTATTTTTATACTTCTAAAAAATAAAAATTGAAAATGAAAAAAAATAGTTTTATTAATGTTTAGAAGTAACTCAATTTACGTTACTTTTAAGATTTTTTGTAAGTTTCGACAATAGATCTTTACAAATTCCATCTGGAGCAAGGGAATTCCGAGGTATGTTTTTAGTGTTTTCTTAGGGCTGAAAAAGACTCTTAAGCTATGGATAAATCCGATCAATACAGATGGTATGTCTACTTAAGCATCTTAAGGTCAATAATAGTATCCTAAGAATTTACATAAATTGTTATTCTTATTTTGAAACCCTGTAACCATAACCTCGATAACTCCAATCGTCCTCTGATTCATTCGGTCTACCAGGTCTTATGGTAAGACCTGGACCCGGGACCGATTTACTTTTTTGTTTTGATGTCCCCAGAGGCCAAAAATACCATATGTTTAAATTTTATATATGTGTCCTTTAGCACGATAACTTGAGTGAAAATGATCTATTTTGTTGAAATTTAGTACCGGTACAGACATGTAAACCTACGTTATTTGAACAAGTTTGCGAACCGGCTTGATCGGACTACGGGAACAGGAGATTGAGAATGGGGGGGGGGGGGGGGGGCTTTATAGAGTAAAAATAGGGTTTTCCCATTTTTTTCTCTCAAAACATATGGATTGCAATTTCTTTCTAAACCATTTTGTTGAGCTTAAAAAATCAATTAATTTAGTGTATGGGGGTGTTGTGCACTGATTAGTTACAGAGAGAATAAAAAAAAAAAAAAAACTGTTAATTTATAATTCTTATGTTATTCTTAAGGAAAATAAGTAAACTGTTGTAATAAGCTTGTTTATAGAAAAAAGGCCTATTTTTATCAAATTTTGCAACTTAATTTATTTTATACTTAACTTTTTGACTAATATTCTACTAAACACACTTTACTTCCTTCACTGAAGCAGCAAACCTAAAGACTAATTAAACCCAATACAATGTTTTTAAACAAGAAATAAATCTGATGAGTCTAAGTAAATATCTCGGTAAACAAACAGCCAAGTACGCAAATGGAAGTTTGCTTTGTTTGCAGATCTGCTGCAGTGATATTTATTTATGGATTTGCAATTTACATCACCTCTATTAAAAAGTAAAATAGAGGGTTAATTTAGGAAGATCTGGTTCCAATTTCACTATCTAAACTAATATATAGGCCTACATTGTTTGGTCAAAAGTTTAGGTTTTAATGAAAAACTGACCACAATCTAAATTATCATCTACAAATCTTATTACTCCTAAGGAGTTTAGATTTATCAAGATACCTACTCCATTTGAGCTCTGTCAAATGTTGTTTAAAATTTCTGTATAGCTGTTATATTCTGTTACAGCCATCTAAAGGATGTTCCATTTCCGACAGTGCTGAATGGAAGCAAAGACTGCTAAACACCCTTTATGACCAAACTGGCTCCCTTGTGGTAAGCTCAATGACTTTTGTAATTTAAAAAGTATTTTGTTACCATCCATTTTTATTTAGAGTAACAAAACCTCTAGGTATATAAACATCTCTATGTAATTTTTAAAACTCATTTCAAAATTAAATATATTGCTTTCTTTCTATTAGATTGAGTTATGGGTAGAAACCAAATTTATGGTAATTTAAGGATCAATTAAATCTCAAACGAATGTTAGTTGAGCCATTCACATGTTTTATTCAGGTTAATGAGACTTGGAATGAAAGCATTACCGATTGGTACATTCTGGATTAATAAAGTCCAGTTGATATATTTTACTTTAAGAGATGCTGTGTACCTGTAATATTTATTCATTTAGATTGATATAATGATTTAAATTTTAATATGTAGATTGGCAACAGTGATGCACCATATTGTTGTAGTACAATAAATTAATACTGTTTGTTAACTATTCATAATCCATAAATCCAACCAATAACATATAGCGTCACTAACCCCCACTTGTGTGAGATCATCTATTCAAGGGTCCCATTCTTCCACCTGCTTCACCATGTTACTTTAATTCCGTTACTTTTTTATGATATCAACTGGTGGTAGTTTTCCAACTGATTCTGATTTATTATTTCACCCCAATCTATTCCGTTCTTTCTTCAGTGCAAACACTTAAGAATGAATAAAAGTTAATCTATTTCCATTGTTAGAGTTACTAGCTTTTATGCATGCACACATTGGAGTCCATGGGGCTTAAACATACAAAGGAGCCCCAAACTTTCCTGCAAACTTTAATTTCCAAACATAACCTAGCTGAAATATTTTCTCGAAAAGTCCTCAAAACCAATTTAGGCATGGCTAAACAACTCTTATTCTTAAACACTTCTTGAAAAACATTTGTGAAAGTAGTGTACCAAGTTTATGAGTGCAGGAACAATTTGTATACTACTTTAAAACCTATAGTCAAACATATAACTTAGGTGTGATATTGCAGGTGTCAGCCAGAGCTAGTTGTTGCCAATACTTGCCTATAGAAGATATTCCTGACCTGTGGAGATCAACCCTATCCTCCTTCATGGGCCTACTATCAACCTTCAGTCAAGGTTTGTATCCCGTTTATCCTCTAGGTCCTTTCCATGATATATCCGGCCAGGCTACGACATCTTGTTAGGATTACTGTAAAGTTATCAAGTAACAGGATAGGGCTAGTTAAAACGTCCAATTGTATACTTATATAAAGTTAAATAAAATATAATACTGCTTGACATAGTTGGTAATTATCAACCTGATAAATATCTAGTGTCAACCCCTTACGCTCCTTTCACAATATCCGATTTTGCTTGTCCAATTGTTAATCGGATTTGTAGTTGACCATTAGAGCTTATGGTCCCTTTAACATTATACGATTACCAATCTTGTCCGATTTTCACTCGGGCAACGCCCGGAAGGTGCCACTGCAGGAAGCCGACTCCCGGACGAGTATTAATCGGGTGTACAGCTAGTGGACCATGTGACCATATGGCCCCATTCACACTAAACGATTGTTAGTCGTCGGGAGCCCTCCTGCAGTGCAGTTTGTTGCGTATAGTTTTGAGAATATTTTGTTTTTACAGTTTATATTAATTAGATATTGAGTTAAATATACTTGGTTATTTAATTATTTAGTTTTTGTTATGAATTGCAGTTTTGTTTATATAGTTAAAATTATGGATGTTTTTGACTCTGATGTTTTAATTTCACCTGTTGAGTAGAAAGTTGCGTTACGGTTGAGTAATAATTGTTCAATTTGAGTAATGATGTGTTTTATCACTATACCTTGCCCAGAGAACATTATTTGTTTTATTTAGTACTTAACGTACGCATTATTTAAACAGTTTGTATTTCAAAGTTCAATTAATTTCATATGTTTCTATTACTTTAGTAAAGCATGATTATGAAATCCCCACTTCCTCACATTTCAAATTGATTGGATGAACCCAGTTGAGACAGTCACTTTTTATTTTTGCCACCTAAAGTATTATTTTATTTTTTGTACCTGTAAAGTAAAAATTTCAGCAATCATTTCTTCGCGATCCATAGGTAACTATACAAGACTTTCCACAGAAATGTCAATGAACAGAGTGAAGGGGAGTGTCTGATTTTTTAACCGTCCGATTACAAATGGGATAGTGAGATAGCAACAAATCCACGATGATCTGCCCAACAGTAGGACAAGTGAAAACAAATAGTGTGAAAGGAGCGTTAGGCAGGTTTAACCAGTGTGGCTAATCAACTGAAGTTAAAAATTTAAAATTAGTAGTAAAATTATAAGGATATTCTAGAATGTCACATTGTCTTGCCGCCCAGCAGACATCCACGGAAAAAGCAAAAGATGTACAATAATTCATCCAACACAGTGCATATAGTTCATGACGTCCAAGTGTTGCGTGTTTTCAGGATTGAGAGGACGGGTGATCGATGACAGAGGTGAGGTCATGAGAGAAGCCACAGTCCAAGTGGAGAACTCCCGACACAAATATCACGTTACTCCCAACGACGCATACTTTCACATCGTCTTATCTCCAGGACCATACCAAGTACAGGTAAAGCTATGAGTGGGTTTTATTGTAACAATATTTTTTTAAGTATTTCACCTCCCATCGTGCATCTCATTCAATCTGCCTGTTTTGAAGGTGTATACAAATAACTTGATGGCACTTTATAGGCTGAACGATATCAAATCACCAACTAATTGACTATTAAATCAATTTTGATTATTCAATTAATGAATTGTTAAATTAATAGACATTGTGTAATGTCTCAATAATGTAACAAAGTAAACAATTTTTGTTGATTTATGATTTGGAAAACAATCCTACAAAGTACAAATCTACGTAACTGCTGAGAATTGATACCTCAAAACTAGTCAAGATATAGTCTAGTAGGCAAGGCTGTGTTTTTCACAGAAAATTTGTATTGAAACTTTGTGCCACTCTCTTCTTTTGCATTAAAATAAATTAGTTAAACTCCAATGTAGTGGATCATAATAGCATCTAAAAATGTGAACAATGTTTAAATAAAGTCTAAGCTAGTCAACTAGTATTAGCAACATTTTGGAGTTAAAATAAATAAGAAATTTAGAAAAAAAATGACGGGAACTCATTTAAAATTAAACGTGTATCGATAGAGTAGCCTAGATAAGTTTCCAAATAAAAGAAATTATAGATTAACTTATATTATTTCCTGTATCAGTTTACATGCAAGCACCATGAAGTTACAACACTAGATGTGAGGATTGAACCTGGTATCATGCTGGATTATGTTGTGGTCATGAAGACTTTGCCCATCGATGCTTACACTGCTGAAATCCTTACTCCTGATAAGGTTTCTGGCATATCAGGTGAGTTGTTGATATTCTATGGGATAAAACTACCTTGTGAAATCATTATTTAGAAAAAATCGTTATTTCTATTTTAAGAGAGAGCCATGTGGTTCATTGATACACAAAGGTAACACAATAAAACACTTATATTTTGTCCTAGTGTGTGACTTCTTCATTCTTCCTAGAGAGCAGGAATTCCATATCATACTCTCTGAAGAAATCTTAGAATACCTATAAGAAATAACAATATGTCACGGCATCTTTTTTGTATCAATTAGCCTCTGACCTTAGTTTTCTTAAGCCGGGTTTTCCTAGGCGCGGAAGTGAAGAGCGGGAAGAGGAACGCGGAGAGCGGACTCCACTTGTCTGAGGTAATTTAATGTTACTGTTTTCCTAGAAGCAGAGCGGAACACCATGTTAATCTCTTTTCCGCTCTCCCCGTTCCTCTCTCCGCTCTCCGCTTCCGCCCTTAGGAAAACCCAGCTTCAGGTAAACAAGCAGAACTTTATTTAAAAAAAGTCATTAATACACAACTTGTGGGAGTTTAGATGAATGAGATACATAATTTGTACTGTGTTAAATAAATAGTATACCATCGGGAATATGGAACTTTCAATTACAAATTAAGGTTGTTCCTAATAGTTTGGGTCAAATGTTATGGACTTTCTTATCATAATTTAAAATTATTTAATGATTTGTTTCCAATGATTAATAATCAAATCTGTGAAATATTTCTACAGTTTAAAACTGTCTTGCATTCAATTTTTAGAATTATTTTTATTGTTCTCTAAATGAGTATGGTTGGATACTTCCAAGGTAACACTATCCAATAAATAACATTTTCCTACAGTCACCCGACAAAGTTGGCTTCCTTGTACTGTTTATAGTACAGAAAGCTGCTAACTGCTGCATATTTATACTTTGCAGTACGGTTTATACTTTGTCATACGGTTTATACTTTGCCGCACATCAGGATTCCAACGAAACAACACAAAACAGTGTGGTTTTATTATGCACGTAATCCGTGTACGCTTGGAAATAGGTTGGCAACACTTAAAGATAATAATACTATGAGCAGCTGATTGACTATTATAACTACGATTTAACCTGTCATTTCGTTTTTATAGTTTCGGTATTTCTGAACTTTCTGGACTTTTCTTTTAAACGTTTTTAAAACATTCCTACGATCTTCAAAAACAAGAAAATACCTTTAAAGCATTTTTTAGGCGCGGAAACCACTTCAAATTACAAAAACATACGGAACTATATTCTCAAAACGCGGAGCACATTTCTTGCCGAGGAAAAATAGTGGAGTGATACGGACCGCGGGTACTACTTTCTCTAGGGCACCATTTGTGTTGCCAGTTGAACCTAAAAACGTGTTGTATAGTGTTTGAAAGACTAATTATGCTCTATAGTGACTGTAGGAAAAATATAATGTGTAACACGAGTAAAAAAGGCCTTTGCTGCACTCGAGATCATTGCTCTCGTGTGCAGCAAAGTGCCACTTTCACCACTAGTTACACAAATAACTATATTCTTGTCAGAAGTCAAACAGAATAAACCTTTTGTTGCTTATAACTGAGCATGAAAAAATACTCAAGTATTTTTCAACTTAACCTGTCAAAACTTGTTTTCTATGTAAACTAACCATGATCATTTCAAATTATGTATTATAGTTTGCTGACTATAACAAATTAACTGTAACACACTGATTCTAGAGGCTTTCTTTACTAGCTTTGCTTGAAAATTTGATTTCATATCAATGGTTTGTGTTTTTATTAATGTTGTTAATATTTGTTTTTTGTGAGGGTTCAGCTGCTATTATTATAAAATTAGTTTTTTTGTAATCCACTCATTTAATGTGTACAGTATTATAATTGATTCTTGATACAGTACATGTACACCGTGTCCCAAAAAAACTGAACAATTTTATTTACTTATAAAAAGTTTATTAACAATCACACGATAAACTAATTACATTTTAACTGACACAAATATTCCTAAGTTTTGTTTGATATCATATGTGTTAATGATTTTCAACATGGTTGCCATTGTTTGCAATAAGATAGTCAATACGTCTGTCCAATTCAGCCCACACTCTATGGCGCATTTCGTCAGTAATGTTAGTAAAGGCTGCATTTATTCTTTGCCTCAATTCTTGGACATCGGAAACTTCTGTCTTATAAACTTATAATTTTGACAAATTTAACTCACATGCTGCACAGCGAACAGACTTTCGAGGGCCGTGAAGAAATAATTGTTGCACGTTTTCAATTAATTCATTTTGGATTTTTGGCCTACCTTTACCTTTTAAATGTTGTAAGCTTCCAGTTAACATAAATTTGTCATACCAGGCTCGAATGCTGTTCCGTGATGGAGGACGTCGACCATAGCGTCTTCTAAAATGTTCTTTGCACTGTAATATCTGACTTACTTTGAATGTACCACTCAACGCATTGCGCTTTCTCTCGTGCGTTCATGGTGCCTGCTTAATGACAGGGCAATGTTTTTAAATTTCAATTTTCAATGAATCAGCTGATAGTTACAATTGATATTGAACAAAACTTCATGAGCTCACTTATCATATGATCACCTTCAAAGTAGACTAGGTATGCCTGGACGTATTATATAACAATTTAAAATTGTTCAGTTTTTTTTGGGACACGGTGTATTTGTAATAACTATAATAAAGTAACATAAATATAAATACTGTGTTGTCAATCCTGTTTATCTCAGATCAGAGATCACTAATTTCAATGAGTCATTAGGCTTTTCAATTCTGGATGTAAAAACATATCATTGTGTTTAACACATGTCTTTAGAAATATCATTTATAAACTCTGAATAGTTTTGATGAAATGTGTTTTTGGTTTTGATAATCGAATTCAAAAGAGGAGCTATAATGTTCCAATATTAATCAACTGTGACAAAATTGGACATTTACGATAAGAAGGTATATATTATTATTCATTGCATAAATCCTAGGACAGCAAAAGGGGGTTTTCATGTAACTTACATCTGTAACCCATAAAAAGTTGTCTAGTTCAAAAGAAGATAACATAATTTGAAACAATTTTATAAAAGGGTCTAACAACTGCTTCTTTGGGTTTCTAGGTTATGTCATTGACCTTGAAAATCATCCTGTTTCAAGAGCCTTAGTCAAGGTTGCTAACTTCACTGAAAACACCGATGTTGATGGCAAATTCTGGATACCTCTTCCTCCAGGTAAATGTTAGGATTAATTCATTGATTACTGAACAAACAATGGATACTTACCGTAATTAAGTAAGCTTACATATAAGTTGTGTAAATTCAACTGTTGAATGTTGTATGATATCAACTTTAACTAAAATTTGAGATTTGAGATTTTTTTCAAATCAATGTGTTTATGACAGAAAACAATACATTTTTGTTTGTAAAGAGTATATCACAATGTACCATCAAAGGCATGGAAAACATTTAATTAAAGTACAGGCTCATCCTTAGAGAGTCTATTTTGGTATGATTTTGCATGACTCCTATAATAAGATTTGTAAACAAATAAAATTCCTTAAGTTGAATGACATACCGTAAATAGACGTATATCTCAGGTTATATTGTTTAACTTTCCCTCAGCTCCTAAGTTATCCTTTAGCAATCTATTTATTTTGCCAAACAATAGGTTAATAATTGAACAAATTTAACTATATCATGTAGTTTATGCAGTCACTTAGCGCACAAAACATAGCCTTTGTCAAAATAAAAATGATAGGTTGAGGAAGTAGCGAATATTTTTAGCCTATAATAAACTATAATTTTTCTCATGAAAGAACCTTTTGGGAAGGATTTTAGAGGGTCTCTGGTAACTTGATGGATATATTCATACCAATTATCGGAAAACAATTAGAGACTTTGACAGCCTACATCTTGGGGTACCAAGATCAGCACTATTTCTAGTTGCCATACGTAAGGATCTCTAGAGCTTATAGTTTAGTATTAGCTTGCTCTTATAACACATACGGTAATGTTACTTCACTGTCTTTAGATCTCTGCAACAGATTAAAGCCTATGGCGGTTGAGGTTTTTTTTATTCAAATTTGAGTATTCAAGATAATTTTTCCTAACGTCTCCTATGTTTCTTTTTCCAGGAGAGTACGTTGTCAATGCTACTACTGAAGGGTTCAACTTGGTTACTAAGCTAGTCAGAGTAGTTCATCAGAAGGCTCAGAAGGTAGTCTTCAGGCTGTCCAAGGACCAGAGCGTCATGGGGCTTCCTCGGCTGGTGTTCATATTTTTGTCAGGTGTGTGTTTGATTTCACATTTACGTATCATCTTGGTTTTTATGTGTGAGGAATATCAAGCAAACTATGAATGATCGTCATCCAAACATTATCATACCGTTGTTCCAAGTTATTTTGTTGCCAAGTAAATGAATTCCAACAAAATATGATTCCAAGTGATCAGAACTCTTATTTTGAAATACATCACACTTTCAAGCTATTGAAAAAACCCATCTAGCATCACAATCCTAAACACTTAATCTTCACTTTTTGGAGCAGGCCTTGGAAAATGAACAACTTGTTAAAGTGAAGGTTTTAGAATACACGCTCTTGGAAATAATAAGTACCGTAGCTTTTTTTCAGTGACTTTAACATTTTAAAGCTTGGCATTTTGCATTTTGTTTATTTTAATGCACTTGGATTATGAACTTCACCTGATAAATCAATACATGATATATTGGGAACAAAGGAGACAGTACCTTAATGCAGGACTCGACTCGAGAGGGATATGGTGGAACAGTATTCAGGGACCTATCTCTCCAGATAAATATTTTGTGAATAAAACTTATTATTAACTAATTTTGTTTGTATTGTTGTATTGGGGAAAGTTTCTATTTCATACTTTTGGATTATGTGTATCAATGCTAAAGACCACTAACAGAAATGGTGTGGCAGTTACAGCAGGCAGTTTCAATTACATTTTGATCACCATCTAAATTTAAAGTGTGCTAGAAACCAAAACTACATTATTGTAATGGGTTTCAAATCTTGTTAAAATAATTCATGAAAATTTCAAGAGTTAGCACTTAAACTCTTGACACTCTTGAAACTCCCATTAAGAGTTTGAGATTTAAACTTATTTTAAGAGTAAGAGATTTTCTGGACTGTAATTTCAAATTTTGATTATTTTGCAATTGTCATGATCTTACCCAGACCAACTTGTTATAATTTCTTATATGAAATAATTGTACGTGTATACTAATTGTTGTATTTTTGATTTGTTTTAGGAGTGGTCGGCATGATGTTCCTCGGACTTTTCTTGGGCTGTTACTTGATCTGTAAGAAGAGAAAACGTATGGATGATGGATTTTCTTTACTACCTCAGAAAACATCATTTTTTGATGATGAAGAAGAAAAGGAGTTGTTCCGATCTCCTTTGAAAGGTAAGAAACTGCTGTATAACAAAGTCAAAAAAAAAAAAAAAAATGCTGCGTTAAATTTTTATTTGAATTTGAATTGTTGTTCCTCAATTTTAAATAATAGGCTAGTTGGTAATTAGTGTCAGGGTTGCAATCTTAGCAGTGGACAAAGGATGAAATAGGCCATGATTACTATGTTTACTAATGAGAATGATTTGACTTATCTTAATGTTTTATAAGATTCCTAATCATAGATGTTTAATCTTAAACTCGATAATTGATAACATTAATATTTCAAAGTATTTTTTTCTACACCTCAGACCTCGTCCAAGTACAGTAGAACTCCAATCATCCAAATTCCAACCATCCAAATCGCCAATAATCCAAATTGCTTACTGAAATAATTTAAAAATTAAAAACCACAGTAATGATCGTTATATTAAAGAAAGCAGAAGCCATCGGGTTGTCACCATTATCATCTCCCGCGCTCACGGAAACATGATCATCGTTTTTTGCGATCGAGGCAAAATGATAAATATATCCCACGGCTGTGTTGACACCATCATCGACTCCTGCGGTCACAGAAAAATCGTCATAGTTTTTTTGCGGCAAAATGATAAATATATCCCCCACGGTCGTTTAGACACCATCATCGTTTACCGCAGTCATGGTAACACCTTCATCGTTTTTCGCGATCATGGCAAAATGTTAAATATATCCCAAGGTCGTGCTGACACCGTCATCATCTCCCGTGGTCACGAAAAATCATAGTGTACTCCGTGATTGTGGCTGCGTAAGCGTAAATTTTCCAATTGCAAAATCATCGCAGACATGTTCTGTGATCGCAATAGTAAAAGCTTGGCATGACTTGGCCTATTTTCTTTAATAGACTCTGAAGTTTATTAAAAATGCAATTATTTGAATTTTTGATTATCTGAATGGGGTACTGTCCCAATTAATTCGGTATTTTGAGGCAGGCCCGTGGTTTGCATGTGACGCAATGGGTCCAAGAGATAATTGCGTTCCCTCCCTCCTTCCTCGTGGGGGAATTTTTCTTTTCCTGGCAACCCGAGGCCCAGTACTAAAAGGTTTTGAGAACAGTAACCAACTATTTAAGATCATAAACTTTTCTGTTTTTGTGAAATGTTTCTCAACTTACCAGTGATGGTCGAAAACAGGAATTTCAAGTCTCAAAACCAAAACCAAAATTTAAAAAATCGAATCCCGAATCTCAAATTTCAAAACTGATATGCGAAACTTTTTTATTTGCTCACTCAAGGCTCCAAAAAAAATAAAGGTAATAATAAAATGTTTATTATCCAATCAGAACTGAAAGAAATTGGACCCTGACATACTAGTTTGAATATATGGCTAATAAAATAAACCTAAAAATAATTTATTTAGTTTGTACCGATAAGAAACTTTATGGGAAGTAAGTTGTTCCTGTATTAATATTTATTTATGATATGGATTGATACCTATTGCAGTTTATACTCTATATTACTTGTTATATCAGTGTTACTGATGATTTGTTTGCTCCTCTGCTGCCAGCTTGAGTGCAATTGGTGCAATTTCAAAACCAGAACTTCCAAAATATATCTTTAATTTCAAAACTTTTGAATCTTGAAACTCGCAGATCGAATCTTGAAACCAAAACTTTTCCAAAGTTTTGATGGTTTTGAGATTTGAGATTCAGTTTTGACACATCACTACAACTTACACTAACTTTTAACTCCTTTGTAGATCCAGAAGAAAACAAAAAACTGGTAACACACGCTTACCATGATGATAGCGACATAGAATACGACGACAGTGGTGATTCTGAAGAAGATCTGATGGTTATAGACTCAATGAAGAGGTAAACCACAGAACCAGAACCAGACTTGCTAACTCTGGTTAATTCTAACACATCAAAATTATTTTACAGAATTAGCATTTAACTTGATTTCTATTGCAGCATCTGTAAGTTTTAACATATGTTTTAAATGTGTAAAATACTGATGTAAATAGTGAAATGTATTAGATGGTTTTGTGATGTTGTCTTGATAGAGTTTTTAAATCCTGAACCATAAAGATTTCATGAGTAAGGATCTCTTTCAAAACATTTGTTTAGCTATTTATAAGCCAGGTAGGTTAAATTATTGTTTTAGATAGTGTTCCTAGTAAACTGATTTTAAGCATTTTTTTGTACAGAATATTGTGTTATATGTAAAAAATCCCCTATCTAAATGGACCTAGGTATATTTTATGATCAACCATACGATGGATAATATTTTTGAAACTGGTAAAGCATGTATCCAAACAAGCTACTGTACTCAGAAATCAATAACTAAACTATATAGAAATATTTCTTAGCCTCTATACATTTTGGCAGCTGTAAAATTAATTAATTTAAGATGAGACTTTTTTGTGTGGCAGTTTACATTTTTTAGCATAAATCCCTTATTTATTTAAAACTACAGTATTAACTTTACTTGTGCTTTGTAACAGGGTACAACAACAGTTAGTAACAGTTAGTCCTTGGACATTATAGTATCACCACTGATTATGCTCGCTGATTCTGTTTTGTAATTCTAACAAGTTTAAGATCTTCTTAGACTTTAAACGATGTTTGAGTTGTAACAGCATTCATTATTTTCGATTATGTTATGACTGAAGACAAATAAAACTTATGAAACAGAACATTGACGTTTTCAAGGGGTTCAAATATTTACCAATCCGTGTCAATGCTATGTTAATTATTTGATCTCAGATTCAGATTTCCCAACTACATTGTGTCTACTTAATAGTGTATGTCTTTGATTTGAATCAAATGGTTCTATAGAATTAAGTTTTTTTTATATTTTACTAGGCATGAAATCTTGTAGTGAAAAAAATTAACTGAAGGCTCACTAATAACGAGTAAAAACATAATACTTAGCATACACTGCTCAAGTTTGCAAAAAATATGTGGGTTTAATATGTATAAACACAAATCAATATAAACTGACCTTTGGTTTTATCTGACCCACCTTGGGACGATGGGAAATTTTAGTGTGCCGCCCCTGTCTGTACTCTAAAGATATGTGCCAGGCTTTTAGGCATAATAGGCATTTATAGTTTTGTTTTATCTAATATTTACAGTTAGAAATTACAGTAATGGTATATTTACTTTGTTGATAAATTTTTATGAAATTTGTGATGATGTTTTACAATGGAAAAAGTTAGTGGTTTTAATCCAAAACAAACTTGAACAGTTTTGATATGGAAGAAATTCATTTAATAAATTTCATTTAGGGTTTTTTTACATTTTTACATTGGGTTATTATTTTCCATGTCATCTGACCTTTCGGCTCTTTCGACCTTGTTAGGCCCCTCACTGACAATACGATTTTGATCGCCTGACACTGTGTTGTCCGATATTTATATCATCCAATATTTATATTGTCCGATATTTATATCATCCAATATTTATATTGTCCGATATTTATATCGCTGGTGCGGTCCTTGCTCACGCAACTAGCAGTAGTTGAGTAAACTAGCAGTTGCTTCATAGTCGTGGACGAGTGAGTGAATGTATGTGTTGTGCAACTATCATAACAGTGGTCACTTTAGCTGTCAAAATAGTAAAACAATGAACCCCAAACATGTTGTCGCAATGTTGCTGCTGTGGTGCTGAATTATGTGGCGTAGGATTAAGGGAAAGTGCTGGATTCATCCAATTAATCAAGTTTTGTTTTATTCCTGTCCTTATAATCGTCTAATGTTTTGTTCCACAGATCTGGTCTTGCTAATTAAATCAAAATATAATTATCAATAATAATTCATTTGATGTCATTATAAACTCACAAAGATCACTATTCAATTGATTCCAAAAATACAAAAGCAGTATATGTGTAGTGCACATCGAGAAGGCACAGCGAGAACTAGGACTAATAGGGAGAACGGATGGCATTCGCCAAAAAAATTGCTATGTGGGTGTGGGCCAGCCCCCATTTAGCCACGTGTTCCAAATAGTTGTGCGACAGTCGTTGATCACATTGGCAGTGGACGACTGCTGGCCGACAGTTTGTCATTTTCGTTTGTCTGTCGGTGTGTGGGCAAGCGCTCATAACATCTAATGGTTCACTATTGGAATGTGGTTGTCCCTGTCGGACGGCCAAAATTGTATTGTGGCCGAGGAGCCTTATTACTGGTTTAGGTCAGATAATCAAAAGTTTATTATTATTATTATTATTATTATTATTGTATGGCCAGCATTGGACCACTTAAGTCAATATAATGGTTAGATTCTTTTTAAATTCTGTCTCTTCTTCTTGTCCGCCCAATACTTCTTCATTCTTTCCGACCGTTGTTTTCTTTCTTCTTCCGAAACCACTCTTCCTTGTCTCTGATTGTTTGCTCCTTTTGGCAGGATGATATTTTTGTCTTTGAGTACTGCAAGCGCCTCTGACTTATTTTCCAAATCTTCTAATGATATTTTCAACCTTCTCATGTCCTCCTTAATCTCTGTAATATACCTTAAGTCACTCTTGCTATTCCACAACTTGTCAATTATTTTATTGCTTATTCTATTTTCTGGTGTCCTTAAAAGATGTCCAATGAATGAAATTCTTTTCTTTTTAATTATACTTGTCAATGGCTCTATTTCCTTATATACAGTTTTATTTGAGGCCAGTCTCCAAACTCCATCTATTTGATATTTGTTGTTTGTACATGTTCTGATGATTTTTCTTTCTATTTTTAGTATTTTATCTATTGCTACAGTGTTAGCTGTTTTAAATATAGTTTCACTTGCATATGTTATTTTTGGAAGTATAACTGCTTTGTAGTGTTTCAATTTTGTTGCTATTGATAGGCATTTTTTGTTGTATGCGTTTTTAGTAATATGTTGCATTCTGATTAATTTATTAATTCTATTTTGCCATGATGGATTTTCTTTAAGATTGTATGTTATAACTTCATATAAGTATTTGAAATTTTCTACAATTTTGATGCAATGTTCTCCAATTTTGATTTTGTTAGCCAATGGTGGTTTTGTTAACATTATTTCAGTTTTCTCAAAAGAAATTTTTAGACCTATGCTCTGGGCTATTTCCTGAAGTAGTTTTATTTGTTGCTTGGTTTCTTGGATGTTATTAGCTAGAAGAGCAAGATCGTCAGCAAATCCTAAACAGTTTAACTTTATGTCATCTTTTTTTATTCCAACAGTAATATTTTTTGGGTTTGTTTTAAGCCATTCCCTCATAATGTATTCAAGTGCACAGTTAAAAAGAAGTAGTGAAAGGTCATCTCCACAAAATCAACATCTCTACATATGATATTACAAAAAATCTGGATAACCGAGAAATTCCCAGAGCATTGGACCACAGCCGTAATCAAACGTTTACTGTATCATTGTATTTTTTTTACAAAGATTATAGATTTTAATTAAATTGTTTATGGAACTAACACAGCGGTTTTAGGGGTTCACAAAGGATCTGTTGTAGACCCTGGAATAAAAATAATGTACAATTGCAAAGTTATATTGTTTCTTTGGACTAAACGTTTTTTCCAAGGCTGTAGACTTACTTTCTCATAATAATACTTTCTCAGTAATTGTTTTTGTCCAAATGCAAGAACCAATTTATGAATTTGTCCAATAACTATTATGACAGTAAAGTACATGATCATGGGTTAAATATGATCTGATCTCTTAAATCTAGTGGAGAAGAGATAGAGGGAGCTTAGATTTAAAGGAGCTTTCAATTATACAGATTTCAGACGTTTCATACTTATCAGCATAGAAGTTTTCTGTTTTTACTTCAGCTATGATAATCTATATACTTAATGTGATAAGGGTTAAAGGGTTTTTCATCACTCCGTAACTTAAGTAACTATTTTCGATAACAGCTGACATCAATGAAAGTAGTCATTTCCCAAGCTCTAATTTAGGGCGAGGGAAAATCGATCAGCTGATTTTCCCTCGCTCTAAAATTACTTTCCCTCACTCTCAATCAGTTCTCCATTCATTCTCTACACGCGCTAGTGTTTTGTTGTGATTTTATTTAATGATTTGAATCAGCTGTATGTATTGTTAAAAGTTGTTTTATTAATTTATTTTCATGTTTAAACAAAATGTACAGTAGAACCCCTCATATCCGGCCACCACGGGACCAAGCCCCTGACCGGATAACGATTTGGCCGGATAAACCAACCTACTATGAAAATGACAATTCATACCTAATAATAATAGGTAATCAATATATGCAATCAAAAGTATCATTTAATTCTGATCTGGGATTATTTTTAGAAAAATAAACATATGTTTGTAATAAAGGAAAAAAATATTTGTAGGTTAAAGTCATTAAGTAATGAATGCACAAATATTATGATTCCAGGTAACAAAACATATTAAATGGAGGTAAAAATTACAATAAATTGTACTTAAAGATCATTAGGACCTAAATGGTACTTGCATTTCTACTCAACATTCTTAACCATTTTGTGAAATACAAAAATTAATGTACCGTACTCGTACTGTACTGTACTAAACCCACTTTGGAAATAATCAACCAACTGATAAGAGGTTAGGCCTACTAGCTCAACTGAGTATCGTGACTCAGCAAATAAATGTATAAACAAACAGATAAATAGTGAGAACAATTTATTTTATGACTTGAGCAGTCACAAAGACTAGTGGTTGCATCTAAACGTCCGTAAGCTGTGAGAAAAAAATTTTGATATTGGCTTCCTGGAAGGGGCCGGATAAACAGAGGACCGGTAAAACCAAGGCCGGATATGAGGGGTTCTACTGTATTGAGAAATATACATAGGTTTCCTTTTAGAAGATTTTATTTTATTTTGATGTTCAATCAAATTAATTGAGAAATAAAATAGTTGTAATATTACTGATTCAAAAAGGTAATATTCTTTAGGGCTTTGCCCTCTAGCATTTAATTTATTTTTAGAGTTAGCTTTCAACGATCCAGTGATGATGACCAACTTTCTTTATAACGGTTTGGATGTTAATTGTAATTTAACAGCTAGCTGATCAATCAGTTGAATGTTTAACCACAGTCAGATTGTAAAATACCCCCGCCGCAGCAAATCTGCCGTCCAAGCGAATTTCCATTTGTCCGAATTGATTTTCAATTGATCTATTTAAATAACATTATTAGGTTTAACGAGTACCTAGGTTTGCTGCTACAAGGAAACTAATAAAGTAGTGTGTTTTTAGTAAAATATTGATAGCTTACTATAAAATAAATAAATTTGCCAACTTTGATCAAAATATATCCATAAACAAGCAAACTACAACATTTTACAATATTCTCCATAAGAATAACATGGGAATTTTAAATTTACCATTTTTTTAGTTTTCTCCGTAACCAATAACCGTACAAAAACACTTTGATATACTGAATTGTTTGTTTTTTTAAGCTCTTTAAGAAGGTTTAGAGAAAAATTGGGAAATTTTGTGTTTTGAGGGTAAAAAGTGAGAAAAACCCATTTTTACCCCATAAAACCCCCCATAAAACCCTGTTCCCATGGTCCGATCATGCTGAATCGCGAACTCATTCAAGTTTATCCCGCCTTACACCTTCAAACCAAATTTCATCAAAATCGGATAAAAATTACTCAAGTTATCGTGTTCACGGACACATATATATATATATAAATCTATATATATACCTATATATATATATATATATATATATATATATACATATATAAAAATTTGAACGAATGGTGTTTTTGGCCTCTGGGGACATTAAAATGAAAATGTAAATCGGTCCCGGGCCTAAGTCTTACCATGAGACCTACGGTAATAGCTACTTCCCTAAAAGGGAAATTCGCTAAAAGAGACAAATAGTTTATGTAAATGCATTTTCCTACAGTTACCTAACAATG